ACGGCCCCAGGGGACCCAAAGGCGCTCTGCTCCCGCATCCGCCGGACTCCGGAGTGACCCTGGCTTTCCGGAGCCGCGGGACCCCGGGTGTGCCCCGATCCTGCGAAGGGCTCTGCCCTGGGGACCCGGAAATCACAGAATGGTACCTACCTCCGGTGGCTGCAGTTCAGCCCTTTGTAACCCTTGTGTGGCCACAGCTCTGGACGTTCTTCCCGAAGGGTTTCTAAAGGCAGAAAGCGGCAAATAAGTTTAAGGGAACTTTTAGTTTCTTTTCCCTAAATTGTGACTCTGGAACTCTTAAGACTATGAGGTAGATATGGAGGCGTTCACGTTGAGCTTAGAGACATTTTATTAGACAGAAATAAATTCACAAACCATCATATTTTAGAACGATGAGTGCATGTTAATAAAGCTGTTCATGTGTAAAGTGAGTGGAAGGAGAAACATCAAATTGTTAATAATTACGAGTTCCTCTCAGAAGGGGAACCAAGAGTTTTCTGAGTAGGAGAGAGATGAAGGGAAATGTAAATTTTATTTCCTTTTGTGGTTTTCTTGTACAGGGCCAGCTGATCTCAGACTCAGAATCCTCCTGCCTCCACCTTCAAAGTGCTGGGATTTCAGACTTGCAACCACACTTAGTTTAAATCTTTTACATTTAAATATATATAAAAATATATACATATATCTATAAATTTTAGGAAAAAATAGAAACCACAGAGGAGCACTCTGGTTAATATGCTTACAGTCTTTATTGTATGCACATTGCACATGATTTAAAAATAATAATAATATAGAAACCACAGAGAAGCACTCTGGTTAATATGCTTACAGTCTTTATTGTATGCGCATTGCACATGATTTAAAAATAATAATAATAATAATGGGGTTATTTTGTAAATACCATATTTTATTCTTTCTTTAAAATTGGCTTTATCACAGGCAAAATCCCAGCATAGAGTGAGGAGGTGGACATGAGGGCCTACCGTTAGCTGAGGAGCTATTTGTGGACAAGAAAAGTTCATTTTCTTTACGGATTGGACCATTGCTAAACCACAATCCCGGGCAGGTTCCACACCTAAGAGTATTTAAGGAACACATAGGAAAAAGAACAGTAAGTTGAACAGGTAAGGAGGTGGATGTGAGACCATTTGGGAGAGAGGGATGCATGATTAAAATTTATTGAAGTTCTCAAATAATTAATGAAATATATTTTTTTAAAAAACTGGATTTTTCAGCCATTATCATGACTCTTAAGTGAGCAGATACATTAATGCTTCTAGAATAAGCTCCCTCCTGGTTCCATATAATGAAAGTTGGAGGCTCTGGTGCCCAGTTCCTCTCCTACCACCTCATGGCTAAAACTGTTTAAAGAGGCAGAAAACAGAATCACTGATAACAGAAAATGGGGTTAAACAAAGCTTTGACACTTCATAGTCCTGAAAGTGTCCCGTGTCATGACTGCCTGTTTAGATAATGAGAGCTAAAGTTTGTGAGGAGAATATGCACTAACAGGAAATAGTTAATATCCAGGGGCCACTTGGACTCTCTAGCAGAGAGAGATCAGCAGCAAAATAGCAACCAAGTTCACAGAAAAACACACCACAGAAGAGAACCGCTGTGTAGTCTGTGAAAATGAATTAAGATGGGAAAATGTACAAACAGAGGCTAGCTAGTGACAAAGAAATGGGAATTCAAAAGCAGCCACTCCTGTGTGGTCAACTCAGGGAGACACAGGGAGTGTCTGTGCAGCTGACTATGTCAGCTTGGCTGGGCCACAGCACCCAGATATCTGCTTAAATCTTACTCCAGATGTGAAGATGTTTTAAAACTGAGATTGACCTTTACCTCACTGAGCTCTGAGTAAAGCAGATTATCCTCCATGATGTGGGCTGGCCTCATTAGGTCAGTTGAAAGCCTTAAGAGAAAGGACTCATCTCTCCCTGGAAAGAGGGAATTCTGCAACAAACTGCCTCAGGGCCCTCCTGGATCTTTCTCAGGGTCTCAGGCTGGCAGCCTACCTTGCAAACTGTGAACGTGCCCAAACTCCATAATGTATAAACACAATTCTTTTTTATTTTTGTTTTTGTTTCCTTGAGACAGGGTCTCCCTGTAGCCCCAGCTGGCCCAGAACTCACTATGTAGACCAGACTAGCCTTGACCTCAGAGTTCCACTTGCTTCTGCCTTCTGGGTGCTGGAATTAAAGGCATGTACCACCACCAGCATGAACCCAATTTTTAAACCCAATTCTCAAAGTTAGTATCTCTGTCTCTGGACATTCATTATCATTCTTTCTGTCTCTGCCTCTGTCTCTGTCTCTATCTCACTCTCGTGTGTGTGTGTGTGTGTGTGTGTGTGTGTGTGTGTGTGTGTGTGTGTGTTCGTTCTGTTTCCTTGACTAACACTTTGCTCAGTACTTCTTGCACATGGAGAAGCCAGGCAATAAACAGACTAATAGTGGAGATTTAGTGGACTATACTAACATTAAGTTGCAAGGAACATGGTTAAAGAGACTATTCAAGGTATAGGTTGGTGAATGTGGGACAGATAGCATTTTTAGGTCAATCAGGGTATTTACGAGAAGACATCCAGAGAAAATTATATCTGGGCTGATGTTTGAAGACTATTATGAAAGCAAACTAAATGCCAATTGCTTAAATGCAAATAAAAATCAATTTTAAAAGCAAAATATAAAAATAGACCTGGGCATGCTTCATACCATTTGAAAAGCTGAAGCAGGAAAAGCTTGAGTTTGAGGTCAGCCTGGGCTACATAGTGAGACTATGCCTTGAAACAAACAAACAAAAATTAAATTAAATTAAAAAACAGAGAAACATGCTGGACACAGTGGCACACAACTTTAATCCCAGCACTTGGAAGGCAGAGACAGGCATATCTCTGAGTTCAAGGCCAGTGTGGTCTACACAGTGACTTTAGGCCAACTGGGGCTACAGGGAGACCCTGTCTCAAAAAGAGAGAGAGAAAAAAACACATCAAAAAACAGAAAAACAGGTTTAGTTTAGCATTTCCTCCTTGAAGGATATACAGTTGATGATCCCATGTTGAGGGCCTGATTGAACCTAGTCCCTAAGTTATAAGAACATTTCCTAAGTGTTCTTTCTCATTTCGTCTCTTCAAATACACCATCTGTAAGGCTGAAAATGTTAAAGCACACTTTGCAAAAAACTAGAAGAGCAATTCACCAAGGAAACAGGCTGTGGGGACAGCAGCCCTGGAGTATTTTTGTAAAATAATAGAATAAGGGCAGGTGTGGTGGCTCATGGTGGAATCCCAGCATTCAGGAGGCTAAGGCAGACAGAACACCAGAACACAAGGCCAGCCACACTACATAGCAAGACTGGGGACATCCTGGGGTACAGAGTGAGGTCCTGCCTCAAAACAATGACGAAAGTAGAATACATATGTCCATCATAGCAGTTATCAAATGTTAGTTCCAGAGGAGTATGTGTACAACCACCACTTTCTAGTGAGGAACTGAGGCCAGTGAAGAGAGTTCCTCAGAGTCTGGGTGACCCAGTCACACATGAGAAGCAGGCCTGGAAGCCACGGTGCCTGAGTTCCAGTCTCCATGCTGCCATCAGAAAACTGTGAAATGGCCTGTGGACTAAACATTGATTTCATTAAAGGCATGAAGCATGATTTTCAAAATATTTCATGTTCTCCAAAAGAGGCTTATGCATCCATTTCATGACTATGTACAAGTAGTAGTTCAAGAAACTCTTAAAGAAAATTGCTAGGCATGATGGCATATGCCTTTAATCTCAGTACTTAGGAGGCAGAGGAAGGCAGATCTTTGTGAAACTGAAGCCATCCTACTCTACTCTATAGCAAGTTTCAGTCCAGCATGGAGACCCTGTCTCAAAAAGTTTAAAAGAGCTTAGATATGCACCATAATTCTAACAAGCAGGCACTAATCACAGCAGAAAGGTGGTGAGACAGAGGAGGCCAGTAGACTATTTGGGGTTTTGGAGGGTCTTCCTGTAGCCACAGTTGACTTGGAACTTACTATGTAGACCAGGCTGGCCTTGAACTCATGAAGATCCACCTGCCTCTGCTTCCTGAGTGCTGGTACTAAACGGATGTGCCACCACACCTGTCTCAGTAGGCTATTTTGAATGGGATAATTTCTCTGATTTTTCTTGGTTCTGCATGTTGTTGTTATACAAGAAGGCTACTGATTATTGTGTGATATTTTTGTATGCAGTTACTTTGCTCAATTTTTTATTAGCTGTAGGAATTTCCTTGTGGAGTCTTTAGGGTCTTTATGTATAGAATCATACCATCTGCAAATAAGGATACTTTGACTTCTTCTTTTCCTATTTGAATTCCCTGTATCTCCACTTATTGCTCAAGCTAAGATTTAAGCCACTATATTGAACAGGATAGGAAAGAGAGGACTTCTTTGTTACTGATTTTAGTGGGAATGCTTTGAGTTTTTCTCCATTTTATGATGATGCTGGTTATAGATAGGTTTGTTATATATTGCCTTTATATGTTCCCTGTACCCCTAGATTCCCCAAAGACTTTTATTATGAAGGGATATTGGATTTTGTCAAGGCCTTTTCTGTATCTAATGAGATGATGATCATATAGTGATTTGTATGAGGATGTCCCCCATAGGTCCCAAGTGTTTGGACATTTTGTCTCCAGTAGGTGATATTTTGGGAAGTTTTAGGAGGTATGAGCTTGCTGAAGGAAGCTTGTCACTGGGGGCAGGCTTTGAGAGTTCTTAAGCCTTTCTGGATTTTGAAGTGCTCTCTGCTTCCTGTGCCTGCTTGAAGATGTGATGGCTTGTTTTTCTGCTCTGGCCACCTCCTGTTGCCACGCCTCTCTTGTCCCTGGAACTGTAAGCTCAAATAAACTCTTCCTTCTATACGTTGCCATAGTCATGGTGTCTTATCACAGCAGCAGAAAAGTAGCCAATACACTGTGGTTTCTGTCCTTGAGTCTATTTATGTGGCAGACTACATTTAGTGATTTATGTATGTTGAACCATCCCTGTATCTCTGAGATGAAGTCAAATTAATCATAGTGAATGATCTTTCTGATGTGATCTCAAATTTGTTTTGTATCTTATGTTATCAAGAATCTTTGCCTCTATTTCACTAGGGAGCTTGGCCTATAATTCTCTTTTTTTGTTGGGTCTTTATCTGGATTTGGCTTTAGGGTAATATCAATTTCATAAAAAGAATTTGGAAGAGATCATTCTTTTTCTATTTTATGACATAATTTGAGGAGTATTGGTGTTAGATCTTATTTGAAAGTCCAATAGAATTCTATGCTATATCTATGTGACCCTAGGCCTTTTTAGCTGAGAGATTTTTAATTACTACTTATATCTCATGGTTGTTAAGGGCATGATTAAATTATTTACTTCATCTTTATTTAACTTTGGTAAAATTCATCCTTTTTTTTGAATTTTCCAGTTTACTGGAATATAAATTTTAAAGTATGCACTTAGGATTTTCTGAATTTCCTCACTCTTATAATCTCTCACTTTTCATCTCTAATTTTATTAATTTGGGTCTTCTTTTTCTTTTGGATGCTCTAGCTAAAAGTATTGTCAGTCTTGTTACTGTTTTCAAAGAACCAGTTCCTCATTTCATTGGTCCTTTGAAATTTTTGTTGTTTCTATCTCATTGATTTCTGATTTCAATTATCTCTTCCCATCTATTGTTTGGTGGTATTATTTGTTCTTGTTTTCCCAAGGCCTTCATGTTCATGATTATTAATTTGAGATTTCTCAACTTTTTTGATGTAGGCACTTAAGGCTATCAACTTTCCTCTTAGGCCTTCATTATGTACCATTGACTTAGTGTGTCATGCTTTCATTTTCACTGTATTCTAGGAATTTTTAAATGTCCTTCTTGACTTCTCTCTTGATCCAGTTATCATTCAGTGGTTGTGTTGTTCAGTTTCCACGAGTTTGTGTATTTCTATGGTTTCTGTTGCTGTTGATATCCAGCTTTCTTCAATTGTGGTCATTTAGAAGGAAGGATGTTATTTCAATCTTCCTATAGTTGTTAAGGCTTGCTTTGTGTTCTATTATGTGGTCAATTTTGGAGGAAGTTCCCTGGGCTGCTGTGAAGAATGTGTATTCTTTAGTGTTTTGCTGGAATGTTCTGGAGATGTCTATTTGTTCCATTTGATTTATTATGTTTTTTAACTCCAATGTTTCTCTGTTTAGGTTTTGTTCAGATGACCTGTCTATTGGTGAGAGTGGAGAACTGAAGTCACCCACTGTCACTGTGTTGGGGCTAATCTGTTGTAGATCTAAGAGTATTTCTTCTATGAAATTAGGTGCACTTGTTTGGTATGTATTTGTTTAGTATTATAATATCCTCTTGGTGGACTGTTCCTTTGATGAGCATAAAATCACCTTCTTTAACTCTTCTGACTAGTTTTAGAAGTCTATTTTGTCACATATTTAGAACTGCTTGGAATAGCTTGTACTTTTTTCCACTCTTTTACCTTAAAGTGGTATCTATCTTTGATGGTGAGCTGTGTTTCTTTGAGGTAACGAAAAGATGGATCCAATCTGCTAGTCTGTGTCTCTTTATTAGTAAATTGAGACTGCTAATATTAAGAGTTGTTGTTGAAAGCTGGGCATGGTGGTGCATGCCTTTAATCCCAGCACTTGGAATGTAGAGGGAAATAGAGCTCTGTGAGTTCAAGGCTAGCCTGGTGGACATAAAAGTTCTCAAAAAGACAAAAGAAAAAAGTTCACTTTTGCTTTTGTGGTATTTTCTTAGATATATTTTGATTAACTGTTCTGGTCTGATATTATTTATCTCATGATCTCTTAGGTGCATTTGTCCCTGTCTCTATACCAAAGTTATTAACTTCCAATGTCCTCTGTGGAGTTGTCTCAGTGATCATAAATTCCTTTAATCTGTTTTATGTGGGAGGTTTTCATTTCTTTTTCAATTTTAATAGATTGTTTTACTAGGTATAATATTCTGGGTTGACAATTGTTGTCTTCCAGAAGTTGGAATAAATCTTTCCAGACCCTTCTGATTTTAAAAGTTTC